TGGGGGCTTGCTGCACACACCTGCGACGCGATGGACACTTCACACTCGACAAAATAGAAATAACACATGCGACACACAAACGACGACTTGACACGCGAGTTGTAAAAACTCGCTAATGTCTTGACCGACACAAACCACATTGTGATACACCATTCAAACACACACACAAGCACTAGATAGCAATGACATACACTCACAATTCATTCCATGCCATGCATGCACACACACGAACAAGGACGACAAGCCGAGTGCAAGCCATAGGGTTGCACCAACAGCTCTTGCATAGCGGGAGCCGTCGATACTCATTCCACTAAAAGTCGTTGATATTGATGCTGCCGCTTGTTGCTGTTGTGTTGCAGGTGCAGAGGACGAAGTTCCCGGTGGATGCACAGTGGGCAAACCTTGCTGTTGTAGTGGCATCCCAATTGAAGAATAAGCAGGTGGAAAGTTTCCAGCTGAACAGATACCTGCTTGACCAGTGATGACTGTAGGATTTGTAACACCCGTAGGTCCAGTCATTTGAAAAATTGACGATAGTCGAATTGACGATAGTCTTGATTCCAGATAGCTCTCAGACCATGAAAGAATTCAAAAGGTGGTGCAGGAGACAAAGTATAGAATCTGCAGGCACAAGTACTTGAAGTAGAAAGTAATACTAGAAGTACCACCAGTAACAGTTAGTATTAACAAGTTGTAACACCAGAATCTGTGCTACAGCCTTGCGATACTTCAAGACTTAACCAAGGATCTTTGCTGGAATGGTAGACTAGTAAATCAGCGGAAGTGTAGTAGTAGCTTGGTAGGTAAGTCCGACTTCAGGTGTCGAAATGAAATATTGCAAAGCGCGAAGAAGATCTAAAGTCTGCCCTCCAGTTGAGGCTCCTGACATAGGAGGATCATGGCCATGTTGTCATCGTATAGGACCCGGGCAGAGCTAGGCCGCTCACCTAAGTCTGTGAGCAAGAAAGTCAGCCAACGGAGCTCCTGTGCCACCATGGCACTGGCGTAGATCTCAGCCTCACAGCTAGATTGGGCAACAAATGACGAGCGTGTGGACCTCCACGAGATGGCACCAGAACCAAGGCTAAAACAGTAGCCCTGGGAGGACCTGAGCGTCTCAGCGTCGTCTTTCCACGAAGCGTCTGTGTGTCCTGTAAGGACCACTGGCCTGTGTTCTCCTAGCACTAGCACCATGCCCGATGTACTTGCTAGATAACGCAAAACCTTCTTAGCCGCCAACCAGTGCTGTGGTCGGTGTCTGCCTGTGGCCACAAAGCGAGCAAGGATGTTGGGAGGGTATGCGAGATCTGGACGGATGCAAGTCATCAGGTACATGAGTCAACCCATCAGCTCTGCGTATGGACCACTAGGCTCTACTGACTCCTCATGGATTGTAGTTGACAGCATGTGATCTACTGGCAGTGGAGTGGGCTGTGCAGTGGAGAATTGAAGACCGAACCTCTGAAGGACCTGGTGCACCAAGTGTGACTATATGAGAGTGATGGTGCGCGCTGCTCTGTCCCTGGAGATCTGCAAGCCAAGGTAGTGGCGGAGATCTCCTAGGTTATTGCATTTGTGTCTCCTCAGCAGCTCGACCTTTATGGAGGCGAGTGCGTCTCTATCTACACTAGCGAATGCCAGGTCGTCTACGTAGACAAGGATGTAGAACGGACGAAGAGCAAAGGGTCTGCAGAGGACGTGAAGAACTGGAGGTCAGCTAACAAAGCAGGAAGCATGTCGTGCCACTCGCGCGGCGCCTGCCACAGGCCGTGAACTGGGCGCTGGAGGAGCCACTGGGTCCCAGGGGCGAAGGTGCTGGTGAAGCCAGGCGGGCGAAGCAGGTAGACCTACAGAACTCGTGCAGACTGCCCTGAAGAAACGCTGTCGAGATGTCGAGAGAGTGCAGCTTGTAGTCACGCTGTGCTGCTACGTATGGTAGCACCCAAAGAGTGGACATCTTCGGGTTCGGGGCGAATGTCTGGAAAACGTCAACACCCTCAAGCTGACTGAAGCATCTAGCAACGTAGCGCGCCTTGAACTCCGGCGGCTCTCCAGGAGGGCGCTTCACTTTGAAGAGCCACCATCCATCGACTACGTTCACCCCAAGTGGGGGAACTACGTCAACGAAGATGCCGGCAGTACAAGAACTCAGGGAACTATTACAGCTATCCACTGAGAGGCCAAGAGTCCTGAAGTCGCTTCTGCGTAAGCATGAGGGGTCAGAATGTTTAAGGCATCTCGGTCACCCTGAAGGAATAGCAGAATGGAGCAGAGATGAGGGACGGCCTCGGATATGAAAGCATTCTTGTACTGCCGGTCCTCTATGACGTCAATGCAAGGGAAGGAGCACCCCCGATGGACGGAGGACGGGCAAGGTCAGAGACCAGAGTGGTGGCGTAGTCATGGTAGTGGGTAGCGGCAAAGTCTGTGACGGCAGCGACAAGAGCGTCAAGACTGGAGACAAGAACAGACGGGTTAGTAACAAGTGAGGCGAGGACCCAAGAAACAAGAGGACTAGTGGTACGGTAGAAGTCAGACAGGGGAGGCGGAGCGACTGCCAGCGACGACGGAGGAGGCAACGGGACGAGGGGAGGACGAGACGCGCGGGAACAAAGCAACATAGGGTGAGAGCGCTGGACAGGAGAGATAGGACGAGCACGAGAGGGACGGCAAGACCAGAAGTTGGACGGAGGCATCGGGTCAGAAGTTGAACCTCCACGGCTACCTCCGGGACGCTCCACGACAGCATCCTCAGAACGAGAAACCTCTCCAGAACCGGTGCCACCCCCAGGACCGCCGGGAAAAGCCACGACAGTACTCCTAAGATTAGCACCCTCCTCAACACCAGCACCCCCCCAGCTCGCGGACCCTTGCTGCGGCTACTGCGGTGACGGCAGCGACGGCGGCTGTTGCTGCGGGTGGAACGGCCGCAACTGCTGCGGCTGCGACGGCGGCAACTGCTGCGTTGGCTGCGGCGGATGCTGCGGCGGCATCGGAGGAGGAGGAGGAGACACCGGGGTGGAGACAGGCGGCGAAGCCGGAACCGCAAGGCCCCCAAGGTCAGCCGACTCCTCCACTGGGACAACCGTCAGGAGGGGAGTGACGTGAGACACACCTGACAGGGCAGGACGGGGAGGAAGAGGAGCAGGGGCTACCCGGGGAGTGGGGACCAAGAACAGGAGCAGGGCAATTGGGAGACCTCGCTGGGGAAAACAGGTGTAGAAGAAAACAAACTCGTCAATAGTGACGTCACGAGAGTGAAAGAAACGGCAATACGGTGGGTGGTAGAAGTGCTAGTCAGATGCGTAAAGAAGGAAACCAAGGAAGACACACGGGATTGTGCAGGCACAAGCTTGTCCATGCCACAGGCACGAACGTGAGCAAGGCAGCCCCAGACGTGGAACGCAGATGTGTCACCAGGGAACCCGGTCCAGAGAAGGGTTGGCGAAACCTGCGGTCACTAGGAATGCCGCCACAGATTAAGCTGGTGAGCGGCATAGCGAACAACGAACGACCACATGAAATGGGGTGCACCGGTATGGATCATAGAGGTACAAGCCACCTCCATGACCAAACTGATGCGTCGCTCAGCGACCCGATTCTGCTGCGGGGATTCCGGCAGGGTGTATGACTGGGTGATGCCCTCCGCATGACAGAACAGGCCAAGCCGACCTGAGGCGAACACGCCACTACGGTCGGAGGGAAGATGCAGCACTGGGAGGCCGCGGTGGACTCGCGCAGCTATGACCCATGGGATAAGAACGGCATGCATGTCGGCCTTACGCTCCAGGGAAAACACCGAGGTGTAGCGCGTGTAGTCATCGACAAGCACTAGAAAGTAGTGCTCTCGACGCGGTCCAGGGATGGGGGCTCGGCCCGAAACGTCCAGGTGCAGAGTCTGGAATGGCACAATGGTAGGGGGAAGGGAGGAGGATTGAGGAGCATGATGCAGCCGGCCCTCAACATAGGGCGTGCATGGCGGCGCAGGCAAGGGAAGTAGGGCTGGGAGCGACGCACGGAGACCGAAGACAAGACCGTGATGGGACATGTGACGCAAACGCGGGAGTGCGGGGTGACCTAGGCGGTGGTGCCACAGCAGCAACAGGTGGGTGAGCGACCGACATGAGCAAGCTGGAGCAACCTGCGGCGACCTGGGGGGACGCTCCCATCGGAGGGGACGCATTGTCTAGGGTGAACAGGCCCGATACGGAGTCCCGGGGGAACGTGGTGAGTGGGGCACCAATGACGGCCTTGGTACGGACTGCATATTGCTCATGTCAAGGATACGTAGTGGTGATGCCGAGGTCCAGAAGACAGCCGACATCAACTAGGTTCTTGGAGAACGAGGGGATGTGCAAGAGAGCCCGAGGGAAACGCCAGACAGGAAAGGGTAGTGGAGCTACGGGCATCTTCCGGACCTAAGAAGGGGTCAGTAAGCGCTACAGTGGCAGGGGCAGCAAGCGACGTTAGCGCAGTGTGGTCGCAAAAGAAGGAGGCGGACGCGCCATCGTCTAGCGTGAAGGAGAGAGCGGCAGTAGCAACCGCAAGCTAGGGTAGAGCCGAGACTAAACAAGGCAGGAGGTCCTACGCCTAGCGCAACAGGGGAACCTACACTACACACAGGGGACACACCTACATCAGGCAACACCAGGTAATAGGGTCCAGTCTGTTAGAATATACCATGCTATGCTAGTTGTGTATATTGTGTTTACATCCCTAGTTGGGTGTACACCTGTGTTGGGGTGTCAATCCAACCCAATTGTGGTTGGAGCCCCCAAACACAAGGACCACAATTGTGGGGGCACCACAAGTGGGTTGGCTAAACCACTGGTGGTACACCACACTTGGACCACCTCCAACTGGTGGTCAACCACATTTGGAAGGATCCTCCCTCCCTTGTGATTGGTCCTAACCCCCCCTTCCCTTCCAACCTTCCCTTCCTAGCTCATCTCTCTCTTCCTATGTAATGCCTTTGCTTCATCAATAAACTGAATCTTTCTGTTTCTAACATGGTATAGAGCAATAATGGCTCACGCCAACTTTTAAATCCCGATCCTTCCCCACGCTTCCGCCCCGTCCCCTTCCGACGTGCACCTCATTGCCGTCCCCTCCATCGCCGCTGCTAGACTCCTAGCCGCCGCCTCTCAACTAGTTTTCTGTTGGGTGGATTTTCAAAAACCCCCAATGCGCCAAACGCCATAGCTCGCTCGATAGTTGACAGAATTGAGTGATTCGACTTGCAAAAGAACGCTCTTGGTGTCAGCTACAACGTCGTAAAACTTTGGACTGTTTCATCGCTTGGATTGTCAGATATCGCTTTCCGAAGTTTGCACACTTTCCTGGATGTGATCACGAAGTGCTACTGAAATTTCTACCAAGTCCTATTTTCATCAGCTAACTGCCATCTTTCCCCATCTTTTGCCTCCTCACCTGCACCTGCTCATCGCCGCCTTACCACTGCTGCAGCCGTAGCAGCAGCAGCAGAAGCAGCAGCAGCACCAGAAGGAGCAGCAGACTCAGCAGCAGCAGCAGCAGCAGCAGCAGCAGCAGCAGCAGCAGCAGCAGCAGCAGCAGCAGCAGCAGCAGCAGCAGCAGCAGCAGCAGCAGCAGCAGCAGCAGCAGCAGCAGCAGCAGCAGCAGCAGCAGCAGCAGCAGCAGCAGCAGCAGGAGCAGCAGCAGCAGCAGCAGCAGCAGCAGCAGCAGCAGCAGCAGCAGCAGCAGTATCTACAGCCATCCCCATCCTCCCCTCCTCTTTGAGCCGCCGCGGGTCCACCCGCCGCCGCTCCCTCCCGGCCACCGCGGGTCCACCCGCCGTCGCCTTCCTCCCACTCCGTGTCACCAATGGCATCCTTTCCCCCTCCCGTCGACGTCTCGACCCTCGATCATCTCGTGCGCGCTGCCGACAACTCAGCAACCAACTGGTATTCCTTCGTCGGCAGCCTCCACCGCGTCCTCGGCAGTGCTTATGTCCTGCCGTTCCGCCTCCTGGACATCATGCTTGGTCTCCCAGAGGGTGACCTTGGGGACCCGCCGCCTCATCCTGGCGATCCCCCCCCTCTCATTCCCCATCCCGGCGAGGAACCTCCGCCCCCCATGGTACCCGTTGGCACCAGCACTCGTGCTGCCACCGCTGAAGTTGAGCAGCTCTTCCTTACTCAGTATCGTGAGTTCCTCGTGCTCCATACTGATTACCTGATAGCGTTGGAGGAACACAGGCGGTTGGCAACCCTCCGCACCTAGCATGCCGCTACCGCCGCCGCTTATGCCTCTGACTCTGCGCGATTTGCTGAGCGTCGTCGCGCCTGGCTCGAGGCGGACAGCCGTGCTACTGGTGCCCTTCTCCTTGCCATCCCGTCTGCGCTCATGTGCAACTTCCAGGCACGTCGCATCGGCTCCCGCCAGATCTGGCTCGAGCTTGAGGCAATGTTCGAACGCACCGACTTCGATGCTGTCGGACCGCTCTTCAAGGAATACTTCAGCATCACGATCGAACATAGTGCTGGCGCCATTGACTACACCAGCCGTCTCCTGGACCTTGCTTCCCGCCTTGAGGCTCGCCAGACTACTCTCCCCCCCAACCTTCAGATCTACCGTCTCCTCGAAGGCCTCTCCCCTCAATATGAAGTGCGCGTCATTGCCTTCACTGAGGCTCAGCCCCGCGCCTCCCTTGACACTGTGGTCCAATGGATCATTAACGCTGAGGCCCGCCTTCTCTCAACCCCCCCCTCCGGCCTGAACTCCACCGAGTCCCAAAACCCCCAGCTTGCAGTCACACAGCCGCGTCGTGGCGGGCGCCCACGTGGCGGCCGCACCAACCCTCAGGGAGGGGGTGGAGGTGGCGGTTGTGGGGGCAGCGGAGCCGGCGGCGGTGGTGGCGGGGTCGAGGGTGGCAGCAGTGGTGGTGGTGGAGGCAGTGATGGCTCATCTGGTAGCCGTGCTGGCCGGCCTGGCACTCTCCCCCCATGTTCCTATCTTCGCCGTTTTGGTCCCAGGGCAGGTGAGCGCTGCACCCAAACCAACCATCCCCCCGCGACCTGCTTCAAGGCGTATGATGACGCCTGGTTCGAGCGCGGCAACACTGGCACACCCCCACGCTGGTCTGCCATGGATCCCCGCCCCTCTCTCCAGGATGTCAAAACTCTTCCGTCTTTCCTCCCCTCTCATCTTCAGCTCTCCTCCTCCTCCTCCTCTGTCGCTGACCCCATAACTCCCCAGGAGCTGCAGCAGTTTCGCCGCTTCCAGCAGCTGCAGCTGCTGCAGCAGCAGCAGCAATGGGGCTCTGGTGGTCAGGCTGCAGCCGCAGCTGCAGGAGCCGCAGCTGCAGGAGCCGCAGCCCCAGCATCTGCATGGCAGCAGCAGCAGCTTGGCTTTGGCACCGCCGCCATGGCTGCCACAGTCACACCAGGTCCTCCTGGCTTTCCCCTCTGGGGCTCTCCTTCCCCTAGTGCTCCCGCCTCCCACTCCAGCTTTCTAGGCGAGCTCATGCGTTCTTCCCCTGCTTCCACTTCCATGTATCCCTCTGTTTTTAATGCCAGTGATTTCCAGTACCCCGTGTCTTCAGCTCCCTCCTCGCTCACGATTGACTTTGTTCTCGATAGTGGTGCCACTGAAACTGCCCTCAAAGACGCCGGCACCCTCACCTCCCTCCCTTTCCCCACCAACGTTCATGGTGCTGATTCCAGCTTCTCCATCCCTTGCACTCATCTCTCCACCCTCCCCTGCCCCCCCTTCCCCTCTGGAGTGGTCACTGGTCTCCACATTCCCTCCCTTCGTCATAACCTGCTCTCCATTCGTGAACTCCAACAGGCTGGCATCACTACCCTCTTCCCCGCCTCTGCCACCTACTGTGACCTCCTCCACGGCCCCACTCGCCGCCTCCTTCATCGCCTCCCACTTTGCCCTCGCTCTCGTCAGTACATCCTCCGCACACCCCGCCCCTCCTCATGCCACGTGACCACTCGTGCAGGCACCTCCACTCTCCCCCCTCCCCTCCCTCTAGAGCCACCTTCCTCCAACTCCACCTCCTCCCCATGCTCTTGTCGCGCACTGTCCCACCCCGCTGTTCTCATCCACCACCGCCTTGGTCATATGAACTTTCCCACACTTCGTAAAGCCGTCTCCTCCCGCTTGCTTGACGGTCTTCCCTCCACTCTTCCTCCCCTCCCGTCCTCTTCCGCTCCCCCATGCGCCACATGCATTCATGGAAAGCTCAAACAACAGCCTCACCTCAGTCATCCTTCCTTTGCTGCTGCCCCCCTTGACCTCGTCCACATGGACCTCTGGGGCCCTAACCCTTCCCCTTCCCGCCAAGGGCACCGGTACATGCTTGTCCTAGTCGACGACCACAGCAGGTACTCCTCGGTGTTCCTCCTCCACACGAAGGCCGAGGCCCCTGCTGTCATCGTTACCTGGGCCGAGCAGTGCCGAGTCCACTTTGGTCGCCCCATCCGCCGCCTCCATTCTGACGGCGGTGGTGAGTTTCTCAACCGCACCCTCTCCTCCTACTGCTCAACCCATGGCATCCAGCAGACTCATACCCTTCCCCACTCCCCTCAGCAGAACGGTGTTGCTGAGAGTCGCATTCGTGAGATCACCAAGACGGCCCGCTGCCTCCTCACTCATGCCTCCACGCCCCCTTCTCTTTGGGGCTATGCCCTTGTCCATGCTGCTCTCCTTACTAATCTTTACCCACATCCTCAACGCCAGTCTATCACTCCCACTGAGCTCTGGGCTAGCACCAAGCCAGATGCTGCCATTCTCCGTATCTGGGGCTGCAAGGCATATGTCCTCATCCCCCCACCTGACCGCTCTCGGCAGGCAGGAAAGCTCGCCTCCAAGGCCATTGAGTGTGTCTACCTTGGCCACGCTCGCTCTGCCCCTGGTTACCTCTTCCTTCACCCGTCCTCAGGCCGCCTCCTACAGAGCCGTGACGTGGTGTTTGTTGGTTGGAGAAGGCTATAAGCAGATGATTCAATGGCTCCTTGGAAATTTCTGCAGCACTTCGTTATGACGCCCAGAAAACTCGCGACCTTCGAATAGCTATATCAAAAACTCCAATCGGTGAAACGATCTGAAAATCGGATATGTTGTAGCTGGCAGCGTCAGCTTTCCAATGAAAGTTGAATCACTCGATTCCGTAGCTTAACGAGTGAGCTATGGCGTTTGGCGCACTGGGGGATAATCTGCCCTAGGAGAAGTTGACAGTCCTCAGAGTCACTATGATTGAAGCTTACAAGGTCAGAGGCATGATAGAAAAGGCATTGAAGCACAGTTGGAAGGTGGGGTAGGAAGGGAAGGATGAAAGGGAAGGACCCTGGAGGCCCATGGTCAAGAACATGACAAGAGTCAAAGTTTTGACTCCCCATCCTCAGGTTCAGCCAGCCTGGCAAGACAAAATTCACACTGTGCCAGGTTGGCCTCCAAACCCCAAATGCTGCAGCTGCAAGGTGGGGACAAAAGTCCCACACATGCTGGTCCCTCCTCGTTATAGGGCTCTCCAACTTTGGTGTAGCAGCTGACAAGGACTTCCAATGAATTGTAACAAATCCATCAAACATTTCTTCGTAACTTCTTCATATGTGCTCCGATTCCAACAATTCTTGGCTCGTTGGAATGTGCTCGATGTCATGCACAATCCAAGCACATCTGCACAAGCACAAGATGAACATGCAAAGACATGCAAACCCAACAAACCATACAAACAACGTAGCACACAAAACACATGCAAACGAAATGATGCGAACAGACGACAGGATGACATGCAAATGAATATGCACCAACACACTCCCCCTCAGACTGTCGGCTTGTTTCGCCGTCTCTAGTTCAAGGACATTCCCGCCATCCTCGCACAGCGCCAGTGTGGCTCTTCAGCTAGCCGCTTGGTAAGGAAGTCGGCTGGCTGTTGCTGAGTTTTCACGTAGATCGGATCCAGTGTCCCAAGCTTCACCTCCTTCCGCAGCCAATGCCACTTGATCCTCATGTGCTTGTTCAACCCATGAAGAACTGCATTGCGTGCCATGGCAATGGCTCCCTTGCTATCACTGAACAGAGGTGTCGCACAAGTCTGTTCATGGCCGATCTCCTTCAAGAGCCTCCTTAGCCAGATGATTTCTTTTGCCGCATGAAACATCGCCATGTACTCAGATTCCACTGAAGATAGTGCCGTCTCAGACTGCTTCTTGGACCTCCAACTTACAGGCCCACCTCCCACCATGCAGATGTATCCACCAACTGATGATGAATCCTCATGCTCAGAAGCCCACGTGGCATCAGCAAAACAGGAAAGGAACACCTTTCCTTCTCCGAGCTGCTCCCCCTTCTCTTTGAGGACTTCAACTCCTTTTTGACTGAGTTGAGCAGAGGCTGAATACTGTACTCCCACTGTAGGGTATGACTTGAGGTAGCGCACCACTCTCTCCGCTGCACCACACTGCTCTTCTGTTGGATTTTGCACTACTCGAGCCAGCTGTCCCACAGCAAAGCTGATGTCAGGCCGAGTATGCACAGCAGCGTAGAGTAGGCTCCCGACCATGGATTGAAATTGCCTCTGGTCTTCACTCTCAACTCCTTCTCCTTCAGCTGCCTTTATGAGTTTGAACTCGGAAGGCAAAGGTGTGACCACTTCCCGTTCTTCCTGCAGAGAGTACTTCTCAGCCAAGGTGTTGATGTACTGTCCCTGATGCAGTTTGAGCCAGCCACGTTCAGTATCCCGCTCAATGTGCATTCCCAGGTAGTACCTTGCCTCTCCAAGTGACTTGCACTTGAACTGCTCTGTGAGCTTCCGCTGCACCCCATCGATCTCCTTGTCACTGCTGCTGAAGAGCAGGATGTCATCCACGTACACCAGCAGAAGCACAAGTGACTCCCCCTCTCCCATCAGGAATAGGCTCTCGTCGCATGCACTCGCACGGAATCCAATCCCTTCCAGTGCACTGGCCAGCCTGTTGTACCAGCATCTCGGGGCCTGCTTCAAGCCATAGATGGCCTTGTTAAGTTTGCAGACACGACCGGTTCCATCCTCATAGCCAGGTGGTTGAACCATGTACACCTCCTCTTCCACAATGCCGTACAGAAAAGCGGTTACGATGTCCATCTGCTTCACCTTCCATTTGCGCACAGCAGCTACCGCCAGCAGCACACGTAGCGTTGGAGACTTAGCAGTTGGGGCAAACACTTCTTTGTAATCTTCCTTCTCTTTCTGCTGAAACCCCTTTGCCACCAGCCTGCTCTAGTAAACTGATGGCTCTCCTTTCTCATCCGTCTTGATTTTTGCCAGCCACTTGCACTGTATTGTCTTCTTCCCATTTGGCAAGTACACCAGATCCCATGTGTGATTCTCCATCTGGCTGTTGTACTCTGCATCTCTTGAAACGAGCCACTTCCCCCGTTGAGGCCCGGCTAGCGCATGATCCATGCTCGGAGGTTGTATTGGTGCGTAAAAGCAGTATGCAGGCTCCTCGTCATCTGACTCTTGGTCATCACCCAAGAACAGCACTGCATCTTCGCCTTGAGCCTGTTCCTGCTGCTCAGTTGTGGCTTCTCCACTTGTGGAGCTCAGCAGCTTTCTCGTTGCCATTCTGGTACGTGCAGGGTAGATGGTTGGATTTACCCATTCTTTCACCTTCACCCAATCCTTTGTCCCCCCACCAATCTGTTTCCTTCGCTTTGGCAGACTTGGTGTTTTGGAAGCCTCTTGCTGCTGCTGCTCCGGATCCTTGACTTCAGCATCAGCTGCAATATCCTCATGGCTTCCTTCATCAGTACCGCTTGCCGTTGGCGCAGTGACTTCGCTGTCCTCAGGTTCGGACAGATCGAAATGCATAGTGATCTCTTCCAGCTGCTGGGTGACCCTTGCCTCCGGCTGCTTCTCCCACTTGCCATACATGATGTTCTCCACAAATTTGACATCCCGACTGTCAAACAGCACATTCTTTGAGGGCTCCCAGAATAGCCACCCCTTGCTCTCTGCCGCAAGCCCAAGGTGCACACACCAAAGTGCAGATGCTCCAAGCTTTGTCCTGTACGGTTTAGGGACATGCGCCACTGCCATGCATCCGAACACTCGAAGCATGTCCACTGGAGGCTTCTTTCCAAGCCACCTCTCCAGCGGCACCCACATATCATCAGCCACCTTTGTGAGTACGCGGTTCCTTGCCACTGTAGCATGCCTCACCGCATGAGGCCACATGGAGTTCCCCAGCCCTGATTCGATCAGCAGCGCTCGCGCAGTTTCCAGGATGGTCCTATTAGCCCTCTCAGCAACGCCATTTGACTGAGGGGTATAGGACGTCGTTAGCTGATGCTCAATGCCTTGTTTCTTGAGCCACGCAGTCAGATCTCCTCCTAGAAACTCTCCACCTCGGTCGGTTCTGATGCTCTTGCATGGGTGCCCAGATTGTCGCTCGACGAACGGCAGCCAATCATCTCGTATTGTTGAGGCAGCATGATCCTTCTGCTTCAACGGGTATGCCCACATCAGCCGACTCCAGTCATCAACTATTGTCAGGAAGTACCTTTCCCCCTTACTTCCTCGGACTGGAAAAGGTCCTACGAGGTCCATGTGCACCAGTTCCAGTGCTGCCTTGCTTTTCCCAGCTACGCCGTGAAAGGGGAACCGTGTGAACTTGCTCAGCAGACACGTCTCGCACTTGGTATCATTTGGTTGCCCAGAAAGCTTGAGCCCCTTTACTGCTTCTTCCTTATGCAGTTGCTGCAGCAATGGCATAGCCACATGCCCTAGACGCCTGTGTGCGGATTCCCAATCAGTCTCCCCCGACCTTGCAGAAACCGTCACTCCTGCAGCACTAACTGCATTACACTCCCCCTGGACTCCAGATCCCACCTTTACTTCTCCCAACTCCTTCTTTGTTGATTCCCATATCAGTGCAGGGATCTGCCACATGGATCTGAAGACATCTCTGCTTTCGTGTAAATCCCATAACACACGATCTCCTCGCAGCCCCTTGAATGTTTTGGATCCATTAGTGGTGGTGCTGACTCCGGCCTGGCCTAGCTTGCGCAGCGATATCAGATTGGCCTTCAGCCCCGGTACGAGTAACACGTCCTTCAGCACAACCAGTCCACCATCAGGTGCTCTGAATGCAGCTCGACCAACTCCAGCGACCTTCACTGCATGTCCGGATGCTGAGCGCACTTCAGAGATTGGAGGCGCTCGCACAGCATCCAGCAAGTCCTTGCGTGGTGTCATTGTCCATGCAGCACCAGAGTCCATGACCCACATGTCAAGCGGGTGCAATTCCTCTCCAGCCCTTGCAACAGCTATGCCACTGTCATCTTTGTCACACACATGGTAGAACTGTCCAGCATTCCTCTCCTCATTTCCCATTCCTCTGTCATCCTTGGAGGTTTCTTCAGCAGGATCAGCTACCATGTTGGCACCTCCATGTGGTTGCTTTCCTCCATTCCCGTTCTGCGATTGGTTCCAAGGGGTCCACCAGTCGGGCTTGGTAGGGCAGCGAAACCATGGATGCCCTTCTTCCTTGCAATACCAGCACTCTCCCCTCAAGCGTGGTTCACTGTTGTCATTGTTGGAGTGACCACCTCTTCCTCTTGCACCAGCGCCACCACGCCCCCGCTGGTTCCAAGTCCCGCGACCACCTTGGCTGTGGTAAGAGCGACCGCGATTGCCACGCCCTCGATCCCTCCATGTCCCTTGCATGGCATAGCCGCTGGTGCTGTCATCACCTCCGCGCAGTGTATAGCGACGAAAATCTTCTTCCAGAATCTTGGTGCGAATCCACTCCAATGTCCATTGACTTTGGTTTTGTGGCAAGCTGAGTCCGCTTATAAATTGCAGCCAAGACTCCGGCAGCAGGCTGAGCATCTTGAGACACTTTGTCTGCTCTGGGTACGTGATGCCTGCAATCGCCAATTTCGCGTAGAGTTCCCTCATCTTGTCCAGTACGGGCTGCACAGGTTCATTCTCGCTCAACCGCAGCATGGACAGCTCCCGATCCAGCATAAGAGAAGCGGCAACCGATGTCGGAGCGTGCAGGTCCTTGAGCACTGCCCATGCCTTGGGCCCACAATCAATTTCCGGTAGCAGATGCATGATGTGATGCCTCTGGTTCAGCTCCAAGCTTTGTGACAGTAGATAATACCCAGCAGATGAACGTTCATCCCAGTCCGCTTGCTCTGCCATTTCCTTTGGCCTTGGCTCCGTTCCAATCATCAGCTTCAAGAGGCCAATTTGTCGAAAGTAGAGCTGCATCTTCCATGCCCAATCATCATAGCCATCTCCAGAGAACTTCTCAATGGTGAAGTTCTTCAGCACCTCCTTAAGCAGTGACCCCTGGCTTGTACGCGCTCCCCTTTGCGCTGCAATGCCAGAATCTTGGGTTGAGCTGCCTCCTTGGACTGAAGTATCACCTCCACCAGAGTCCTCTTTATCTCCCATCGTATTTTAGGTCCCAAATGCGTGATAATAGGCTCTGATACCACTTGTTGGTTGGAGAAGGCTATAAGCAGATGATTCAATGGCTCCTTGGAAATTTCTGCAGCACTTCGTTATGACGCCCAGAAAACTTGCGACCTTCGAATAGCTATATCAAAAACTCCAATCGGTGAAACGATCTGAAAATCGGATATGTTGTATCTGGCAGCGTCAGCTTTCCACTGAAAGTTGAATCACTCGATTCCGTAGCTTAACGAGTGAGCTATGGCGTTTGGCGCACTGGGGGGTAATCTGCCCTAGGAGAAGTTGACAGTCCTCAGAGTCACTATGATTGAAAAGGCATAATAGAAAAGGTCAGAGGCATGATAGAAAAGGCATTGAAGCACAGTTGGAAGGTGGGGTAGGAAGGGAAGGATGAAAGGGAAGGACCCTGGAGGCCCATGGTCAAGAACATGACAAGAGTCAAAGTTTTGACTCCCCATCCTCAGGTTCAGCCAGCCTGGCAAGACAAAATTCACACTGTGCCAGGTTGGCCTCCAAACCCCAAATGCTGCAGCTGCAAGGTGGGGACAAAAGTCCCACACATGCTGGTCCCTCCTCGTTATAGGGCTCTCCAACTTTGGTGTAGCAGCTGACAAGGACTTCCAATGAGTTGTAACAAATCCATCAAACATTTCTTCGTAACTTCTTCATATGTGCTCCGATTCCAACAATTCTTGGCTCGTTGGAATGTGCTCGATGTCATGCACAATCCAAGCCCATCTGCACAAGCACAAGATGAACATGCAAAGACATGCAAACCCAACAAACCATACAAACAACGTAGCACACAAAACACATGCAAACGAAATGATGCGAACAGACGACAGGATGACGTGCAAATGAATATGCACCAACAGTGTTCGATGAGAGCATCCCGTTCTATCATTCTGTTCCGCCTTCCGACCCCCTTCCTCCTCTCTCCCGCCCCCTAACCTGGGCTGATGCTGTCATTCCCCCACTCCTTCCCCAGGCTCCCCTCCTTCCTCCAAATCCTGCTCCTCCCCCTCCTCCTTCCTCAGGTGACATTTACGACCCAGCTGTCCCTGACTCCCCTGCTCACTCTGCCTCATCGCACCAGCACCAGCAGCAGCAGCAGCAGCAGCAGCAGCAGCAGAAGGAGCAGCAGCAGCAGCAGCAACAGCAGCAGCAGCAGGTGCAGCAGCAGCAGCGGATGGAGCAGCAGCAGCAGCAGCAGCAGGAGGTGCAGCAGCGGATGCAGCAGCAGCAACCGCAGGCAGTGCAGCAACAGCAGCCGCAGCAGGAGGTGCAGCAGCAGCACCAGCAGCAGCCACAGCAGCAGCAGCAGCAGCAGCAGCAGCCACTGCAGCAACCTCATCGGCATCGCCGCACCACCTCTCCGTTCATCCTCCCACGCATCCACACTCGCTCTCACGGCCCACTCATAGGCCATCCATGGGGTTGGCCAACACCACCCCCACCCTCCCTTCCCTTCATTGAGGACTCCCATGAGGAGCTCATTGGCGTTCAGCAACAAACACCTTCCCTCACGCCTCTCTACCCGGGCTTCCTTGGCCTCCTCATCCTTGGCATCGCTACCGCTCCCACCAGATTCACTCCGTCCAACTTCCTTGAGGCCATCACCTGCCCCGATGCTGCCAAGTGGATCCAGGCTATCTTTGCTGAATGCGAGGCCTTCATCCGCAATGCCTCATTCGTTAACATTGTCCCCTCTCCTGACGACGTCATTGTTGAAGGCCTGTGGGTGTTCCGAGTAAAGCAGCTGCCGGGTGAGGAGCCGGTCTACAAGGCCCGGTATTGTGCCAAGGGCTTCACCCAAACCCATGGCATCGACTACTGGGAGACATTCTCTCCCACTGCCAAGCTCCCAACTCTGCGTGCCATCCTCGACTATGCTGTTCGCATTGGCATGGAGATTGCCTCCATGGATGTCTCCAACGCCTTCCTGCAAGGCGAGCTCCAGGAGCGGGTCCTCTTGCGGCGGCCTCCAGGCTTTCATGCAGCCTTCCCTGCCAACACAGTCTGGGAGCTGCGCCGCCCGGTTTATGGCCTCAAGCAGGCTCCTCGCGAGTGGCACAACAAGCTGGCCGCCACTCTGCAGTCCTTGGGGTTCCATGCCTCTCAGTCTGATGCCAGCCTTTTCCTTCGCTCCTCTCCCACCCGCTTCTTCATCCTGGTGTATGTCGACAACATGATCCTGTTCGCTGACGATGCTGCCGCCATGCAGCAAGTGAAGGACGCCCTGCATGCGCGCCTCAAGTGCAAGGACCTGGGTGAGCTCAAGCACTATCTGGGCATGACCATCACCCGGGACCGCTCATCGCGCACCATTACCCTCTCTCAGTCCTTCTACATCGACCAAGTCTTGCAGCGGTTCGACATGGCGCAGGCCAAGCCGGTTACCACTCCCCTGCAGACCGACCACCAGCTTGCCCCTCCTCCTGCTCCCTCCTCCTCTGACCATCCTTACGCTGAGCTCGTCGGCTCGCTGATGTACGCTATGATGTGCACCCGCCCCGACCTTGCCTACCCCATCAGTGTTCTTGCTCGATTCGTCGGTACCGGTCGCCACACTGATGAGCACTGGGCTGCAGCGAAGCGGGTCCTCCGCTACCTCCGTGGTACCAAGGACTATGTCCTCACCCTCGGAGGCTCTTCTCCTCCCCTCCTCTCTGGCTTCAGTGACTCCTCCTGGGCTGACTCCCAGCCGGATCGCCGTTCCTCTCAAGGCTACGGCTTCACCCTTGGCAGCGGCCTCATCAGCTGGCGCTCCACTCGCTCCTCCTCCATCGCCCTCTCATCCTGCGAGGCTGAGCTCTATGCTTGCACCATGGCCGCTCAGGAGGCTCGCTGGCTCACCTTCCTCCTTGCTGAGATCGGTGCTCCTCAGCGCTGTCCCACCCTCTGGTGCGACAACGCCAGCACCATCCATCTCACAAAGGACCCTGTCTTCCATGGCCGCTCCAAGCACATTGAACTCCGCTACTTCTTCGTTCGAGAGTTGGTCCAGCAAGGTCACTTGGTGGTCCGCAAGATCGCTGCAGAGGCCAACTTGGCCGACATCTTCACCAAGGCCCTCCCGAAGACCGCGCACTCTGCCCTCCTCCGCCTTCTCGGCCTTGGGCCCCGCCCCCCTTCCTGATTCTGGGGTTGTACCCTACATATACACTAGCTTTGCATGCTATGGGGTTGTGTTAGAATATACCATGCTATGCTAGTTGTGTATATTGTGTTTACATCCCTAGTTGGGTGTACACCTGTGTTGGGGTGTCAATCCAGCCCAATTGTGGTTGGAGCCCCCAAACACAAGGACCACAATTGTGGGGGCACCACAAGTGGGTTGGCTAAACCACTGGTGGTACACCACACTTGGACCACCTCCAACTGGTGGTCAACCACATATGAAAGGATCCTCCCTCCCTTGTGATTGGTCCTAACCCCCCCTTCCCTTCCAACCTTCCCTTCCTAGCTCATCTCTCTCTTCCTATGTAATGCCTTTGCCTCATCAATAAACTGAACCTTTCTGTTTCTAACACATTGGAGTGGATTCGCACCAAGATTCTGGAAGAAGATTTTCGTCGCTATACACTGTGCGGAGGTGATGACAGCACCAGCGGCTATGCCATGCAAGGGACATGAAGGGATCGAGGGCGTGGCAATCGCGGTCGCTCTTACCACAGCCAAGGTGGTCGCGGGACTTGGAACCAGCGGGGGCGTGGTGGCGCTGGTGCAAGAGGAAGAGGTGGTCACTCCAACAATGACAACAGTGAACCACGCTTGAGGGGAGAGTGCTGGTATTGCAAGGAAGAAGGGCATCCATGGTTTCGCTGCCCTACCAAGCCCGACTGGTGGACCCCTTGGAACCAATCGCAGAACGGGAATGGAGGAAAGCAACCACATGGAGGTGCCAACATGGTAGCTGATCCTGCTGAAGAAACCTCCAAGGATGACAGAGGAATGGGAACTATGTAATGCCTTTGCTTCATCAATAAACTGAACCTTTCTGTTTCTAACACAGTCACACCCGAGTCATCAACATACATGGCATACAAAACAGACCTAATCTGATCCATGTCAAGCTCTAAAACAAGGACACGGCGATGCACCAGGCTGTACCACTCGAGGGGGTCCGACGCGGGGCCGAAGCGGAGACGGAAGAGGTCGTCCCGACGGCGGTAGCAGCGGGCGGCGGTGTGCCCAGGACGGTCGCAGACGTTGCCGCGGCGGGGGCCAGACTGAAGCTGATACTGGCAGGTGACCACACTAGAGCCGCCACCCGACATCGAGCTGCGTGCCTCACTACCATGACCACCACCACCAGCGCCGCCAGGCCACCACGGCGGCTGGGGTCCCCACGGCGACTACTGCTGCTGCTGCTGTTGAGGCTGCGGCTGCTGCTGCTGCTACGGGGTACCAGCCCCAGTCCCTTCGTCTACACCACCGTCCTCGCCCCCACCTCCACCACCCCCACCACCCTTCCCTCCGCCACGCCCCCCCTTTGGGCGGCGGCCCTTACCCTGATGCTGCTGCGCTGAGGCTGCGACGGTGGTTTCAACAGCAGGGGCTGTCTTAGCGACAGCGGCCCTGGGAGTAAGTGCACAGGGAGGGAGCACAGCCCTGGAAGATATGGACCGCCACAGTACCGCTAGAGTGAGCGATAGTGCGCTTGCGGGTCTCTACCACGGAAAGGGCAGTGACAAAGCCAGTAAGGGTGAGGTCACCTAGGTGCTGACTAAGGAAGTGGTCGCCGGCAGTGGCTAGGCTGTCCGGCAGGCATGTGGCAGTGGGGTAAAGGGTAGTGCCTGCACCACTTGTCGAATTCTTTCAGGTAGAATGTCAAAAGGGGTACGACTGCTTTGCACTGTACGCCACTCTATACAACCTTGCATGCCGTTGTTATCCTCGCCTCAGGCATGTTGTGATATAAGAAGTTTTGCACTCCTACAAGTTCCGTTTTTGGTGTAGCTAGCAGTATCGAGCTTCTCAGTAAGCAACCATGCCCGAGTGCTGATGTCAGCAAAGCATCGCGGGTCTCGGGGATGACGTCAGCATACCGCTTCAGATACGCGAATAGGCGTAACGAGTCGTTTCTGTCGCGCGAACAGTCGCGACCCTATAGTATGACGAATAGGTCGCATAGCGCGCAACTAGCCGAACGAGTACTTTTCCTAGAGCTATAAATACTTGTAATGCCTTTCTATTATTAACCTTGACTTTCCACAGAATTATGTGCTCATGTTATTCAACCTTCGACTACCCACAAGTTCATGTGCTCAGGTTCACTCTTAGAAGACTT